GATTGGGTTACATCTGTTTTTCCACACTTGACAAATCAATCTTCTAAAAATGAGGTTTCTATATGAGAACACATTATTTTGCTACTGTAACAATAGTGTTGACAATTAGGTCCTCTGTTACCCAAAGAATAAGTGGAATTATTGGGTGGTCACAGGGATAAAGAAATTGCAGGGACTGTGTAGCCTGAGCTTTATGTATTACCAGGAAAACTTCTTTCCTGGCAGCAGTGCTTGCCCCTGAGCCAACTAAAAGGCCAGAGCATGTGTGTGGTATAGGCAGAGACGAAGGCTATTTTGGGTTTAGTTTGGGGTGTAGGCGGTATTGTATAGGCAGGAAATTAAGAAACTTTGGAAAACTTGCTATAATACAAATGATTATACAAGGCTCCAAAATATTTGAGGTTGGGGCAAAGCCAGGTCAATGGAAGGGATATTCTAAGGGTTTGAAACTGGTAGGTCCTCCCACCACACCCATTTAAGTCCAAATGCAGACATTTAGCTTTGAGACTGTGGAGTTCACCTAGTCCAAATCTTCTATTTAATGCTTTAATGCATCTTAACATTAGAAAAGTTTGCACAACCTCTCCCTGAATGCTTGTAGCAAGAGGCAACCAGCTACTTCTTTGGGGGCTCATTCAAAGGGAAGGTGGTGCTAGTTAACTGGAAGAGTTCTTAACATGAAGTCAAAGTCTGTTTCTGTGTAAATTCTACTCATTGCTTCAAGTTCTGTCTCTCAAACCATACAGAGTAGTAAGTCTGATCTAAAGATGGGAAAGCATCTAGCCAGAGCTGATCTCTCCTGGGTGAACACACTCAAGAAACAGAATCACTATCAGACTTAAGCTCTGTTAGCTACCACAGCAATCAAACAGAAGTAACAACTTTAACCTACTTACCATTTTGAGTCCAATACTTCTTCCACAAGAGTTTAAACATTTTAATATTAATTTGAAATGTTATCAAATGTATTATCTCGGTTGAATCAAAGAGCATTTCTGAGAAGCCAATACCCATGTGAGGTCTTAAGTACTTGAAATATGGCTAGTTCAATTTGGTATGTGTATACTGTATAAATTATAGCATGAAGAAAATATATAATATCTAATTTTTATATTGTTTACATGTGAGATATTTTGGACTCTCTTCACTTTTTATAATACGGCTACTACATTTTTATTTGAGGTTCACATATATCTAAATAGCACAAAATTAGCTCCTTTTGGCAGTTTAATCAATGCTCAGACTCACAGTGAACAATAAGGTGACTAAAAACCACAAATCACAATCCTCCCATCTAACTCTAGAAGCCTATCATTTTAAGACTTTTTATCAGGAGATGGTGCTGTGGCATTGTGGGTTAAGGGGTCATCTGTGGTGCCATCATCCCATATGGGCAATGGTTCGAGTCCCAGCTGCTCCACTTCTGATCCAACTCCCTGCTAATGTGCCTGGGAAAGCAGTGGAAGATGACCCAAGTGCTTGGGCCCCTGCATCCACATGGGAGATCCTGGAATAAGCTCTGGGCTCCCGGCTTCAGGCTGGCCCACCCTGGCTGTTGCAGCCATTTGGGGAACGAACCAGTGGATGGAGGAACCCCCCCACTCTATAACTCTGCCTTTCAAAACAAATAAATCTTTCAACTTGCCTCATTAATTCAACCTACAGTGCTTAGATTCTGAGCACAGAGCCTAAAATACAGGAGGTACCCCATAAACAATGTTACAGTCTGTTATCTAAAGCATCTCAGTTTCCTCAGCTTCATGTTCCACTTAAATTGAATGTTCTCATTTGCATTCCACTAGAGGCATCAGTTCATTAATGAAGACTCTTAGACATTTTCGTATTCCTTCTGCCTCCTTTCCATTCAGGGCTTTTTACAGTGATTTTCTTCTTGCACTACTTTACATTAAGTATCTCCTTTAAGTCTTTTTTTTTTTTTCTTGAGAGAGGCAGAGACAGAGAGAGAGGTCTTCCATCTGCTGGTTCACTCACTAGATGGCTGCAATGGCTGGAGCTGCACTGATCCAAAGCCAGGAGCCAGAAGTTTCCTCCAGGTCTCCCACGCGGGTGCAGGGGCCCAAGGACTTGGGCCATCTTCTACTGCTCTCCCAGGCCATAGCAGAGAGCTGGATAGGAAGCAGAACAGCCAGGACTAAAACCAGCACCTATATGGGATGCTGGTGCTTCAGGCCAGGGCTTTAACCCACTGTGCCACAGCGCCGGCCCCCTCCTTGAAGTCTTTGTTTTACCCTCTTGGTACCTAATATGCACTTTGCCTTTTTGATAGGAATGTAAAAATCTTTCAATGTGGAAAATGTTCAAAGGACGGGGCCCATGCCACCCAAGAGGGAGACCCAGAGGAAGTTCTGGGCTCATGGCTTCAGCCTGGCCCAGTTCCAGCTATTGTGGCCATTTGAAGAGTGAATCAGTGTATGGAGGATCTCTTTCTTTCTCTCTCCCCCTCTAACACTCTGCCTTTCTAATAAACAAGTCTTCAAAAAAATTATACATTCAGTTATTAATTTTAAAAAGTAATGAAGTAAAAAGTTAGTTTTATCTATGGGGACTGCTTTATTCTTTTGTAAACTGGTGACCTGCATTAAACAAAGGGTTTCTCCTTAGTCTTTTTCAAGAGGATGTTATACTCTGTCTTAAATCATATGATTTTTTATGATCCTAACCTGGTAGCTCAACTGAAATCAGGCTGAGGGACATATGTAGCCCAAAAGCTAGAAATTTCTACCTCCACTGGATGAGATAATGTGCCCAAGAGCTCCGATATTCTACCTAAATACCAATAAACTGAAATCTTGATATCATACTTCACTTCAGGATAGATATGATGGGATTTGAAAAAAATTCATAGAAAAAAATGAATTAATAAGATATACAAATTTTCTTGAACTTTTGGAAGTACCCTCATATGAATGCATCTCAATTTTGTATAACTTTATAAATTTATGGTCCTATAAAATGTTAAACTGCATTTCTGATGTTAAAACATAAGAAGGGATGCCATTTGGCACAATGGTTAAGCTGCCAACTGGAAAAGCTACATGCCTTATCAGATAGCCTATGTCGGAGTTCTTGCTCCACTTCTGATTTCAGCTTCCTCCGAATGTGTATTCTGGGAGGCAGCAGTTTGGGTCTCTGCTATGATGTGGGAGACTGATTGAGTTCCAGGCCCTTGGTTTTGTCTTGGCCCAACTTGGGCCAGTGCAGACACTGGGAGAGTGAACCAGTGGATGGGACTCTCTCCTTCAACTAAGTGAAAATAAATTTAATAAACAAAATAAAAACCAAAGAACATTGTAGAGGCAGGATTGCTCCTGAGTAAAAGAGGAAATGTCTACAATAATAGACTACTACTTCAGTGACGAAGTTATCTTAAGTCTTTGAAAATTGGTCACTGCTGCATTACTTCATCTATTAATCTGAGTAACATAGTTCTATGAATAATGCTCTGGTGAACAATGAACTGACCAGAGACTCCTCAGGGTTGAACATTGTGCTTATTCAAAAGTTTGTCTTACATGCAGACTAGCTTTCCTGTGAAAGAACATGGTGTGCTCACCACAAAGCAATCTTAACTTTGGTGATATAAAGGGTCTGAGACTGAGTGTCACTGTTGCCCATATCAATGACAATGAAACATACATAGATCACAACATGCCAGATGCCTTCTGGGAATCTTATACATACATATACTTACTAATTACATCCTCATAAAACTCTCTATTAATGGAATATTATTTCTCATCTTTATAGGAGAGATTAAATACCTGCTCAAGGTTGCCAAGCTATTATGAGGTATAAAAAGCAGAAGTAAATACTTTGTTCTAGAATTCATGCTCTTGGTGGCTATGCCCAACTGCCTGTTCAGTTAATAACGATCTCATACTTTGTTTACTCCAGATGTACGTTTTAGAGGTATAAAATGTACGAAAACAAATAGGAAAGCTGAATAATAGGAAACCTGTAAAATCTCCTGGAAGATAATTTTTTAGACTTTCATTATTAGTTTGTTTCCTATGTCAAAGCAGAATGCAGAAAAACTGTAATTCATTGGATCTCAATTGCGGCTTTTGTTGTATATTATAATGTTTAGTCAGTCATGTACTTCAATTACATGAATCATTCATTACTAATCATGAGTCAAAAGAGGAGTTTCACATTCCTTTTATCACCATCTGCATTTTTACACAAATCTTAACCAAATATTGCTGGGATGTCTTTCTATGTGGATCTTTTTTTTTAAGCATTTAAACTCAATACACACTTTCAAAGTTTAGCTTTTGTTCATGTAAGTTTTCTTATCAGTGAAATATGTTCACTCTCATTCACTGCAGTTTTTCACACTAACCTGAAATGTACACGTGCCAATGACCACAAAGTTATTGCCTCCATATGCAATTAGGTTTCCTGAATCCCCACTCTCAAAGGGGTTAAATTCCACCACGTGCACATAATCTTCACAATCCACAGTGTAAGTAGCATTTCTTGTGGCATTTTGCTTCATATTGTATGTCAAAACTTGAGCAGATGTAAAAATAAAACAGCCTTCTACTGCACAACGTCACAAAACTGTGGATTACAGCACAGACACAATTAGCAATGGTCAAAGTGTTATTCAGCAAATGAATCAAAACATGGTTCTGGCATTGCAATGCTACACACAATTCAAAAGAAACATTTAAAAGTACTTCCCAAGGGGCAAAAACTGCAGGAAAAAACAGCCAATCTAATTATTAATGGCTGAACATTTGTTCCACAATCTTCTTCTTTTAACCATACTCATCAGAGATACCCACAGAATAGTAATATCATAAAATTCTGTTTATGTAAAAGATATCCTGAGTATTTGAAAATGGAATAATTTTAATAGAAAATATATTCACAAAATTGAGACTTAACATTTATAGAGTACTATTTATTAGGTGTCATGTTAAGCATTTTACTGATACTATCATAGCCAATATGTGCACATCCTCGTTTTACAGATGAAGAAACTGAAAAGTTAACTAATTTACCAAGTGGGCAGTTAACTAATTTACCAAGCTCAAAAGCAGAGCCAGGAATTGACTTTGTTGTGTTGGGTACCAGTGCTGGAGAAGGAAACCACAGCTTCCTGCCTTGAAGATCACAACTTAGGTATGGTTTTGATCCAGCGTGAAAAGTGCTACCATATAAGCAGTTAAAAGGAGCTCCAAAATGCGTAATATAAAAACAACATTTGTAAAACCAGGCACAAAATTTTACCCAACCTTCAGGGCCTAGTGTGTGCAGTTTGCAAGTAGCATTCCCACATGAGAAATATAGATTTTTAAAATATAGATTTTAAAGGTTTTCTTCTTTTCATTACACCAAACCCAAATTCAGAGTTGTCGGGCAAACTGATGAACTCAGTAACAAAAGCATACAGCATCTGATGATTATCTACTGAGAATCAGGTGAATCCTACGTCCGGGGGGCTTATGAACCTCAACGAATAGGCAGAAGGACTGCACATTTATTCTGGGTGATTAGATATCCACGCAAGAGATTAGAGGTCAGGAAACCGGGTCCCAGCACCTCACCTATTACTCATTAAAGCAATGCCTGGGGTCACTACGTCCTTAGGGCCTCCCGCACAAGGCGGACTGCTGGCCTCTCCAGACCTATAAGGAGTGAAGGGCCAAGAGAAGTCCCGACAGTGAGCCCCCGCGCCTGGCCAGCCGAGTCCCTAGAGACTCCGCTCCCACCTCCCTGAGCCCTAGATGGGAGGCAGGAATTCCCAGGAACAGGGTGGAAGCGTAGGGAAACCAGAAGCCGCAGAGCGCTGCGCCTCAGGCTCCCACAGGGATACGCACCGGAGAGCGCCGAGAAGCCACCAAAAGCAACCTGGTCTCCGCTGCAGGCAGAGGAGGCGTGCGCCGGCTCTGCTTCCGGGTCGGAGGGCGAATGCAGCGATTGGCTCCCAGGCCCTCCCGCGAGATTTAAAATGTAACCCGCGGGCACTGCGGTAGCTGCGGGACGACTGCCGGGGGGAACCTGGACTTGGTGGGTTCTGCGCCTCCCGCGTCTGCCGGTGAACCGAGCCGGGTGAGTCCTGGTTTCGTCTATGCCTGCCTGTGGCACCTGAAGTGGTGATTCAGGCTGGGGAGGGCATTTCGGCGACAGTCGAGTGCCTGTGACCGTCTAGGTGTTTTTTGCGCAGTCGCTTCGCTCTGGAGCTTAGGTGGGTCTGGGGCGTTATCTGAAGTTCACAGCACCCACATTTTGTTTATTGTGCACCTACTAAGTGCCTGGCACGAGTGGATTATGAGCCCATTTCTATGAGGTAGGAATTACCGTTCCCTTTTTACATGTGAAGATACCTAATGCCCATCAGATTTTAAATGCGAAAGGATGTGCAGCTAACACACGGGAGGGGGAGAGAGGACTGGATCTGAACACAGCTGTGACTGGAAAATAAAGTTATTTCACCATCTCACATTGCCTCCCAGCCACAACTTCCTGTCTCACAATTTGGCTCGAGTGCATCTTGGAATCTAGCTTTTTTTTTTAAAAAAAAGTGTTTATTATCTCTGCTGCCTTCTATGACTGGCTTTTTTTTTTTTTTTTTTTTTTTTTTTAATAGCTCAGCCTGCCAATCAGAGTGCTTGCTTATTCACTGCGTTCTCACAACTGGCTGAAAGCTAAGTAAAGAGGGTGGGTATTCTTTCCTGGTTTCTGTGTGATGATGATAGCTCTACCTGGACAGCCAGGTGGAAAGCTTCTCACCTCATAGGGCAGTCTCAGAGCAGCAAGACAGCACCTCCAAGACCTCCCCCCACTGGATCATTTAAGACAATTCAAAGAACTCAGCCTATAGTGATAGTCGCAGGTCTGAGTTATTGCAGCAAAGGGCTGCAAAGCAAAGTCAGCAAAAGTAAAAGGCTAATGGGGCAAGGTGGAGGGAAGACCAGGCACAGAAGACCGAAGGTCCTCTCCTTGTAGAGTCACCGGGACACGCTGAATTCTTCTGCAGCTTGTGGTGGAGTGTTGTCTGTTAGGGAAGCTTGTTAGAGACTCAGTGCCATGATTTCCAGTGGGTGCCAAACACAGAGGAATCCTCTGTCTGGCATGTACCAAATTCCAGACTTGGGAGGAAAGCAAGTATTTGGGATAAAGTAACTTTGGTTTGAAGGATACCCAGCATTCCTACCATATTAACTCTTCTACATGGGTCTCTTAAAGCCTAGACTCAGAATTCTTACAATGACATTCTCACCACATTCTATTGGTCAAGTCAAGTCACAAGGCTGGCCCCGACTCAACGGGGTGGAAAAACAGAACCCTTTTGGGACGATATAGGAACTTTTTTTTCCTTGAGTGATCTACCATAGATACTACCTCTACTTCAAAACAAATGTTTTTAAATACAGCTTTAATTAGTTTTGTCTGTGTCTGCAATTCTAAGTTTGCAGAATTTGCATGTCTGTTTTGTGTGAATTTTCAGAATTGCAGCTTGGAGGTTGTTATTTCAAAAGATTTGGCTTAAGAAAACTAAAGAAGAGGAAAATATGATTGGGCATAAATTGTATTATTCTGTTTTTCTAAACTTAATTAAAAGCAATCTTGGTAAACATGAAGTGACCTTGGGTTCACTGCTTATTTTTCTCTATTTGTGCTTGCTACACATGTTAAACATTAATTTCCAATTAAAATAAGGCACTTCAACGTTGTATTCTTTCCTGCTTTAAAGAATGGCTGTGCTTAATCAGAAGTCTGTCTTGGATATGATTAAGGAGTTCAGAAGGAATTGGCACACTCTTTGTAACTCTGAGAGAACTACTGTGTGTGGCGCAGACTCCATGCTCTTGGCATTGCAGCTTTCCATGGCAGAGAACAACAAACAGGTTAGTAAACTATATTTAGGTTAACTGGTTTTCTTTTTTTTAAATCTAATTTTGGTTGCTGTCCATGTGAACAAACTTAAGTACATCAATTTCTTTACAGTTTGTTCTCCTATGATAATATATAATTTTCACAAATACCTCTGGATATTTGAGTTAAAATATTACACTTGGATTTGAAACAGTTTGTTTCAAAATTAAGGCCTTCATACATATAATGAACATAGGGAATGCACATAGGATGTTTGATGGGAAGTCTTGATATAAACTCGCAACTATTCTGATTATTGTTCAGAATTATTTCTGTTTAAATAAGACATCCTTTGTGTCCTAAAACAAGTTCTTGAAAATGAATTTAAGTAATGTTAATTTAATAATTTTATGTTTAGTTTCAGGCTCTGTTGACTAGATTAATTATTCATAAATCAGATTGTGTAGCAGAATCGTTTAGGAGGATTTTTTAAAAAGCTTGACTTCCAGGGTACCATCCTGGAAATTCTGATTCTCCTGATCTATACTGAGATGCTGGAAACCTCCTTTTAAAAACCTCCCCAATGTGTTGTTAGGTAGGTAGCTTGGGCCAAACTCTTGTTTGGAATGAGCCCTAGGTAAAGGACTAGAGGTGTTCAGATGAGAGAAAGATGACTGTAAGCTAAAGTGGTAAGGAAAGGCTTCTTGATTTTAGAAAGATTTGAGACGAGGGAAGAGAAGTATTTAGAGGAGGGATGAAGGAAGGGAAAGTTCAGAAGAAGGGTCCAGGGAGATCAAAATCATGGTTTGAAGTTGATAAAGATACCAACTGACCAGACAGGACTATTTTTGAAGAGTTAGAATTGGTTTTAGTGGATCTGATGGCATTCTGATGAATTAGTATAATTTCATATGTTTGTAATTTCCAGGCTTTTAGGTTTCACTCACCAGTAAAATTCCCAAGAAATATTGGAATTTGATAGATTTAGCTATTTCTCATTTTGAAAAATAAGGCCATTGAGAAAAATGGTTAATATATATATATATGTAATATTCCTTTGAAAAAGGAAGAGTATTTTAACACCTAAAACTTAGGAAGCTTATGATCTTTTTTCATTTTAAATAGTTTTATTTATTTGGAATATGTTTACTTTCACGTACTTCAGGAGGTGGGGAGAGGAAGTGGCCATTTTGGGGAGTAAAACAGAGGATGGAAGATATTCTCTCTCCCTCTCTCCCTCCCTCCCCCTCCCCCCCCATTTCTATCTTTCTTTTTCTCCCTCTTTCTCTGTAGCTCTGCCTTTCAAATAAATAAATACATCTTTAAAAACACATTTTTTTATTTGAAAGGCAGAGTTACAGAGAGTGAAGAGACAGATCTTCTAACCTCTGTTTCATTCCTGAAATGGCTGGAACGGCCAGGACTGAGCCAGGATCCAGGACCTTTATCCAGGTCTCTGACATGGATGCAGGGGCCCAAGCACTGGGGAATCATTTGCTGCCTTCCTTGGCATACCTGCAGGGAGCTGTACCAAAGTGGAGCAGCTGAGACTAAAACTGGTGCCCATAAGTGATGCCTGCACTGCAGGCAGGGTCCTTAACCCACTGAACCATAACGCCAGCCTCAAGATACTTTTTTGACTTACTGATTTGGAAAAAAAAAGTTAAACTTACAGACAAGTTATAACAGTTCACTGAATTCCTGTATAATCTTCACTTAGAATTACCAGTTATTAGCATTTTGCCATTTTCAATGTTATTTTTGAAAAAGATTTATTTATTTGAAAGGCAGAGCATCAGAAGAGATGGAGAGAAAGAGATCTTCTGTCTACTGGTTCACTCCCTAAAGGGCTACAATGACTGGGACTGGGTCAGGTCAAAGCTACTAGACTGGAATTCCATCCAGGTCTACCACATGAGTGGCAGGGTCTCTTGTACTGGGGCTGTCTTCTGTTGCTTTCTCAGGCACATTAGCTAGGAACTGTTTCAGAAGTGGAGCTGCCAGGACTTGAACCAGCACTCTAATTTGGAATGCCAGCATCGCAGGTGACAGCTTAACTTGTGCCATAATTGGCCCCTTGAATATAATATTTATTTATTTTATTTTTTGATTTTTTTATTCTTAGTTTGAATGTAATTTTTACATCATACATAAATCTGTAAGAGTAAACAAGTATACATAGGTATGTATTGTACACAAACATGTACATGTGCATATATATTGTTAGCCTGTATACTCTTGGATAGGTAGGAGCAGACATCTCGAGCCTGTATCTCTAAACACTTCAACTTTTATCTCTTACATTCATTGCTACTTTCTTATATAATCATGGTATAGTTGTTAAGTTTGAGAAATTTAGCAGTGATGTTATTCCATTATTTAATATATAGCTTGTCTTCAAATTTCACCAATTGTCTGATTATGTTCCTTATGACAGTTTTCTTCCAATCCAAAGTCTAAATTGCTGTTAAATTGGTGTCCCTATAGCCTCCTTGAACATCGTTGAACGTGGGTTAGCCTTTCTGCCCTTCATGGCTGGCATTTTCAGGGGTTCAAGTTGTTTATTTTGTAGGATGTCCCTTAAAATGAGTTTTTTTTATTGTTTCTTGTGTATGTTATATATTTTTGACAGAAACAACATGGAGAGGCTGGTGTGTGGCACGACAGATTAAAGCCCTGGCCTGAAGTGCTGGCATCCAATATGGGTGCTAATTCTAGTCCCGGCTACTCCTCTTCCAATCCAGCTCTCTGCTATAGCTTGGGAAAGCAGTAGAAAATGGCCCAAGTCCTTGGGACCCTGCACCCGTGTGGGAGACCTGGAAGAAGCTTCTGATTTTGGATCGGCTCAGTTCTGGCCATTGCAGCCATTTGAGGAGTGAACCAGGGGATGGAAGACCTCTCTGTGTCTCTACCTCTCTCTGTAACTCTGTCTTTCAAATAAATAAAAATGAATCTTAGAAAAGGGAAAAAATAACATGTAAAGTTATTACATCCCTTGATTGCATTGTATTGGGAAGAGCATGATATCATTGGTCACATTACTGATGATGTCACCTTTCACTTGGTTAAGATCAATTGATTTAAGTCTGCCATATTTCTTCAGTGTAAAAGGAACTTTATGGTGCTAGAGAGGTACAGCTCATTAAGCCAGAGCTTGCAGTGCTCATGTACTGTATCAAGAGGGCCAGTTTAAGTCCCAGCTGCTCCCTTCTGATCCAGGTCCCTGCTAATGCTCTTGGGAAAGCAGAAGAACATGGCATAAGTATTTGGGCCCCTACAACTCATGTGGGACATCTTCATGAAGTTCCTAACTTTGAATTTTGCCTGGCCCAACCCCTCTGTTGCAACCATTTGGGGAGTGAACCAGCATATAGAGTATCTCTTGCTTACTCTCTGTCACTCTTGCCCTTCAAATAAAAAAAATATTTTTCTTTGAAAAAAAAAATGGACTTTTTTGTTCCTTTTTTTGTAATTACGAATTGATCTGTGTAGAGTGTTTGTGTAAGAAACTTTCGTTCACTGGTTTTAGCATTCTTACCTGAACTCTGTTATTACTGTAAGTTACATAATAGTGACTTTTGAACTATACCATGCTTTTTCCATGATTAACTGATTTTGCATTATAAAGAGCTTTTCTTTTACCTTAATTGTTACCTTAAGCCAAAGCAATTTTTTTAAAATTTATGGATTATAATCTATTATAGTTACTACTCATTTTGCTGCTTAAATTACCTCAGAATTGGTAAACAGGAGCCCCTTTCGGCTGGCAATTGACATGTATTTATTCCATTTTGATTAGTTCTTACATTGTGACATAAGATATTCCAGGCTCATTTTGTTCTTTTTCTGCCCCAGTCCTAGAACTAGACATTTTTTCCAAAGAGCCTTGGTTTCTTTTAATGGGGAATGTATTTAGAAACCAGGATATCTTAGTGTAGTCATTATCACCGTGACTACTTTGATGCCTTTAGAGTGGCTGGAACAAGGACTTACATTTTTCAGAAGATTTTATCTATACCTATAATTCCAATGCAGCATCATTGCGTTTTTCTTATTTTCCTTCATTCAGTTATCACATTTCTCTTTTCCATGGAAGCAATGCCTTTGATAGCATCTGATTTAGTGTTTATTCAGTCAACTCAGAATGTATTAATAAGTTGCCAGGGGCAGGAACAGATTCCATTCAGTGAAGATGGTAGTTCAAGTCCCTAATTTGCAGGATTGTGGGAAAATGAGTGAAAGGCACACCTTGTCTCTCAGTGTCATTAGTCATTCAAGGGATAGTTAGGGATTCACTTGAAATGGCTTTCATCAAGGACCAGCATCTCTCCGAAGAATGTCTTTTGGGCTTTGATGGTATCATGTGAAAGAATATGGGGGGCTGGCGCTGTGGTGCAGTGGGTTAAAGCCCCAGCCTGCAGTGCTGGCATCCCATATGGGCACCAGTTCTAGTCCCGGCTGCCCCTCTTCTGATTCAGCTCTCTGCTAGTGGCCTGGGAAAGCAGTGGAAGATGCCCCAAGTCCTTGGGCCCCTGTACCCACGTGGGAGACCCAGAGGAAGCTCCTGGCTCCTGGCTTCGGATCAGTGCAGCTCCAGCTGTTGTGGTCATTTGGGGAGTGAACCAGCGGAAAGGAAGATCTCTCTCTCTGACTCTACCTCTCTGTAACTCTTTCAAATAAATAAAATAATTCTTTTTTAAAAAAGAAAGAGTATGGAAGCTATTGATCAGAGAATGGCATGATGAAGTTGTAGTTTAGGAATATAGATATGTGACTCCTGAGAGAAGAATCTAGAGAAAAGGAGATCAATGAAGAGGCTATGGCAGATACAGGTGTGAGATTATATTGGGATAAATGGAAAGGAAAGAATGGGTCTGAAAAACATGTCAAGAAGTAGACTAGTTGACTGATGGTATACAGTAAACAGAGGTAGGAATGATGTTCTAGATCATTTGAATGAAGAATAGTTTTGCCATTACCACCAAAATAAATAAGGAAAGGAAACTGGTTTTTATTATTTAGTTTCTTAGGT